GTGGGTGGAATGTTTGCAAGGGCGTGGTGTGGGTCAAATCATGGGTACAAATCAATTGCGTCAGAGAGATTGCACAGCGTAGGTTTTCCTTTTTACCCCCCCCCAGGGTTAAAGACCACCCAAGAACCGATGCAAAACACATAGGATTCTAACCCAATGTCCATCCTACCTTCGAACTCATACTATCTCAGCCAAAACTGGTATCGCCCTCTCTGCAACAAATAATATGCGCGCGCACTCGTTTATCAAAAGTCAGGAGTTTCCACAAATCCCTCGCAAAAAAAAACGGGGCGAAGTGCGCGCGCGCGCGTCGTCGCGCGTGCATGCCCGAATCCCTCAAAATTCCTTGGTTCCGGAAGGATTCAAAATCGAAACACCATACGCTTTTCAAGATGTCAAACAAATACTACCAAACGACTTCGCGCGCGCGCATGTCGAAATCGTTCGAACGCCCTTGTGCGCGTGCCGTCGCAAGAAGCCTCTGCAAAAAAGAGTACGCAGTGCACGCGCGCGCGTCGTTGCGCGTCCATGCCGAAATCCTGCGAAAACCTTCGGTTTCGGAAGGATTTCAAAATCGAGCCCAAAAAACATACAACAAACATAGAGTTTCGCAAGACGTATGTTCAACAAAAACCTACGCACGCGCTCTTGCGTCGTCGTCGTCGTCGCCGTCCCTCCTCCCTCGTCGTCGTCGTCGTCGCCGTCGTCGTCCTCTGTCTTTCCTCGTCGTCGTCGTCGTCCTCTTTGGCGTGGTCGTCGTTTCCGTCGTCGTTGTCGCCGTGGTCGTCCTCCTCCCTCGTCGTCGTCGTCGTCCGTCGTCGGCGTCTCGTCGTCGTCCCTCCTATTTCGTCGCAGTCGTCGTCGTCGTCATCTCCCCACCTTCCTCGTCATTGTCGTCGTCGGCGTCGCCGTCCTCCCTCCTTCTTCGTCGTTCGCGTCGTCAACGTCCTCCCTCCTCCCTCGTCGTTGTCGTCGTTGTCGCCGTCGTCGTCCTCACTCCTCCCTTGTCGTCGTCGTCGTCGTTGGCGACGTCGTCGTCGTCGTCGTCTTCGTCGTCTTCGTCGTCGGCGTCGTCGTCGTCGGCGGCGTCGTCGGCGTCGTCGTCGTCGGCGTCGTCGTTGTCGTCAGCGTTGTCATCGTCGTCGTCGTCGTCGGCGTCGGCGTCGTCGTCGTCGGCGGTGTCGTCGTCGTCGTCTAAGTCGTTGGAGACGCCGTCGATGTCGTCGTAGTCGTTGTCGGCGGCGTCGTCGTCGTCGTTGTCGCTGCCGACGTCGGCGTCGGTGTTGTTGCCAAGTGCCATTTGGTACCTACCGTCACGGTCTTAAGAAGTCGTGCGACCAAGTTGCGGGTGGGAGGGTGGGATTTTTGCACGAGCAGTGGAGAGGACAGCTTCCAGTTGAGCAAGTGATAGTTTGCACCACATAGATTGCACACGTAGATTGTATAACATACATTGCACCACACATATTGCATCACGTCGATTGCACCACACATATTGCGCACCACATGGATTGCGCCACGTCGGTTGTACCGCATAGGTTGTGTACAACATAAGTTGTACAACATAGATTGCACCACACACCTTGCTCCACAAATATAAATCTCACATCGTATATTGCACAACAAATATTGCATACCATAGATTGCACAACATATATAGCATCACGAAGGTGGCAACACATAGATTGCCCAACGTAGGTTGCACAACACGGATGGCTTGAACACACAAACTGTTTGGGGCTCACGCTAGCAAACTTGTAACCATGAGCATTCGAAGGTCCGCGCGGACCTCCGAAAGTCGACGGTCGGGAGCCTTTGCCAAGCGTGTCACCTACGCGGCCCTGGCAACACGCTATGCCCTGCGAGTGGACAGCGTGTCGCTCCTCTCTGGGGGACGGTGAGATGGGAAAATCTTGGAACGTTGACGCCTGGGGACCAGGTTGGTGATAGCGCGTCGCGCCGAAACGAGCTGGGCCAGAACCGGCGGTGCGACACGCTAACCAAAAGCTCCCGACCGCACGTTCATGCCATGGTCTGTTCCTCCTCCTCCTCCTCCTCCTCCTCCTCCTCCTCCTCCTCCTCCTCCCCCGCGGGTCTCCGAGCGGTCCTCATGACATCGCCCTGCCCGCCGTGCCGAGCTCCCGCGTGCCCTTCTCGCACGAGCGGCGGACGTGTCCACATGGAGAGACGCGCGGTGCAGTCGACGCGTGCAAGAAGGTTGCACGACAGGGGTGCAGTAGCCTCGGATGGCCGTGCCGGCACGTTTCGAGCGGGGCGCGGCCCGCGAGACTGGCCAAGGATGGGCCACAGGGGAGGATGGCAGGGCGACCTGGCATCCTTGCTATGAGATTTGTGGAGCCAGTCCGCCTCCAGCCAGTTCCACTTCTCATATTCGCTCGCTTTGGGCAAGATGCAGACGCAGAAGAGGCAGTAAGAGCTCTCTTCGGATTCAGAAGAAGCAGGGTACACTACTAAAAAGCAATAAAAATTGCAAGATCGAGCTCGCTTCAGATCTAGAAGAGGATAACCGCAAAAGGCTGCGCAACACTTGAGGCCCGCGCGGAGTCCCTGGATCGGCGCCCGGCCAGCCTCCCTGGCGCGCGGATGGCGCCAGGGGCGGCGCTGGAGGCGCCGCCGCCTCAGGGGGGCCCCAGCGCCGATCCAAGACATCCTCGCGGAACTCCGAATGTATATGTCCATGTTTTTAATTTCCACGCCCTCGTGGTCTGGATTTTGGGGTGCGATTCCGCGGATACGCGGTCGCACTGATGCGTTCCGCGCGGGACATCCGCGAAAAAAACAGCCCCGTATCCGCGGGGTCGCCGCCCAAGGACCCGTCCCGCGAGGCCGCGGATACGGACATGTTTTTCGCCCACGGCCTTGGGCGTCCAGCGCAGAGGGCGCGGCGAGCGTGGAAGCCACCCCCTCGAGCAGACCGCCCTTGCCAGGGGCGACGTCGTAACCCTGACATCCTCGCGCCGTGAACAGAAAAGCGACAAAGGTGTTCTGCCATTTTCGGCCTCCAGTGGCCCTTCGTGGGTCCCGGGACCCTAAACAAAAACTCAGGGCGAACAGCTGGTCCCAGGCCTAGGGAAGTAGTCCAGACCGAGCCAAGTAGTGAAGAAATCACAACGCAAGATGTCCCAGTGCCTGGAAATCGCGCGCACCAGCTGCGCGCCGCTGGCACGATTGCACTCGCGCGTGGCGACGATCTCCTCGGCGCAGCCTGATGCCTTGTAGCTGCCGGAAGTGCACTCCATGAGGTTGATCGTCTGGCCGATGCGGCAGTCAGTGCTGCTCACCTTCGCCACGGAAGTCAGCTCGTTCTGCAACTTCTCGTAGTTGCCATCTCTCCTGGGCTTCATGCTCGCCTTGGGCAGACCTAGTAGTAGCCGCCAGCAGACGCATGGGAGAAGCCAGTCCAGCGCCGCTGCTGGTCCAGACGGCCTCAGCCAAGCCCCGTCGAAGTATTTGAGTTTTCAAGCTTCAAGGTCGTAGTATGACGAGGAAGTCTCAATCGCAACTCCTGGCCCGCCCCACTGACATGTCTGGTTGTGCGAGGATGAGGCGCGGTTATCTGTGAGAAGAAGATGGGGGAGCGATGCGCAGGAGACAGAAGAGGGGGCATGAAGGAGTGATGCAGGCTGAGGACGATGGGGAGGGTGAGAACAGAGAGAGTACGAGAGAGAGAGAGTGATTGAGAGAACGAATAAGAGGAATGATGATGATGCTGATGATGATGATGATGATGATAGTAATGACGATGGTGCAGATGATGAAGATGAGGATGGTGATGGTGATGATGATGCTGATGATGAATATGGTGATGACGAGGAGGGAAATGATGATGAGGAGGATGGTGATGGTGCGTGTTATGGCTATAATGAAGATGATGGTGGTGATGACGATGACGCTGATGATGATGATGAACATGAGGGTAATAATCTGGATAACACTGGTGATGATGAAGATGAGGAGAAAGAGGACTCGGGGGGGGGGAGGAGGAGGAAGAGGGATGGCGAGGAGGATCTGAGCAGGGAGCACAATGATGGTGGAGGGGTGAAGAGGTGGTGGAGGTGTGCTGAGGGCTCCTCCACCAGTTGGATATTCAAGGGCTGCTGCTCCTCGGTGCTGGCCTCGCGGGTCTGGGCCGATGCGCCAGCGTCTCGGGAAGGGAACAACATCCTTCTCTTGCTCCTCTTCCTTCTCCTCTTCCTCCTCCTCCTCCTCTTCCTCGCGGCCCTTATTCCTTCTCCTCCCCCTCCTCCTCCTGCTTCTCCCTCTCCTCCTCCGCGTCCTGGCTCTGCGGTGAAACTCGATCTCCTGACCACACGTGTAGATTCGGATGGGGACCGCACGCCCCCCCCCCCCCCCTGCGACACCCTACAGGGCTGGGACCGCCGCGCCGAGGGGCTGGGGCCCGAGAGAGGAAAGGCGAGCGGGACAGCGGGGGGAGAGGGAGGGCGCAACTACCTCTTCCCCCCTACCTTCCGACCTCGCGGAAGGCGTTGGATACATCCTGGACACAGTCGAAACTACGCAGTTCAAGGGCGACCACACGGATCGTATCGAAGAAAAGGGGCGGAAGGTTAGGGCGGAAGGTCCAGGATAATGGGGGAAAGGGCTCCCCAGGTGCCGCACCGCGAGCAGCAGCAGCCCTCCGAAGAGCGAGCCCACATGCCTCTCTGGCTCCACCTGCTCCAAGGGGCATGTGTTCAATGGTCTAGGTTCTGGACGCTTCCGCCGAGTCGGTGTTGGTGATCGTGATAGCGCTCGTCGTAAGGATCGTAGTGATCGTAATAGCGCTCGTTCGGAAAGGGTCGTAACAGGAGGGGCGTCGTATCAGTAGTCGTAGTCGTCGTCGTTGTCGCTGGTGGCGTCGCGACTGCGGAGTGAATATTTGCCGATTGTTGTTGGGTTTTGGCAGCCCTCAACTAGCTAGCAACCCAAGTAACAAATATTTGCATATTGTTAGGCAAGGGGTAGTGAAACCTTTAGGGATTACCCTGCGCCGCTGTGCGGAGCACGCGGCGCGTATTGCCTCGCACGGGTAGCCATGCCCGCCCCCACAGGGGCCCCACCTTCCAAGAGGGGCCCAGCGGTACAAGCATCTGAGCCGTGCCTCCCAGCAAGCGATCCCCCACGACGCAAGTACGTGCAGCCGACGCAGACCAGAGAGAACCATCTCCTCTCCTCTCAGTCCCTCCTCCTCCTCCTCCTCGGCCTCCTTCTCCTCCTTCTCCTCCTCTTATCCTTATCTTATCCTTATCCTTACCTTTATCCTTATCCTTATCCTCCTCCTTCCTCGTCTCCTCCTCCTCCTCCTCCTCCTCCTCCTCCTCCTCCTCCTCCTCCTCCTCCTCCTCCTCCTCCTCCTCCTCCCCCCCCTACAGTAGGAGCCCGACCAGAAGACACCTTCCACAAGAAACCCAACCCTAGAACCCCAGCGCTTCCCTTGATTTGTGTTGTGGGAGCGTCACGCTTCCCATAGCATAGCCATCGAAATCCAAGAAACCCAGGGCACCCTGGAGGCAAGCAGGGTGTCTCTTGGCATGGACCCCAACTGTACTCCTGCTCCCCTCTGCTATCAGTCTTGCCTTCGAGGGTGGAGGTCTTCGAACTTCGTGTGATTGGTCGGGTTTGGGTGCTTGTGGCTCCCCGGTGACGCCGATGACATCGTCGTCGTCGTCGTCGTCGACGTCGTCGTCGTCGCCGTCATCATCGTCATCGTCGGCGTCATCGTCGTCATCGTGCCTTCTGGGGGCCTGCGGGGGTAGTCTTTCGACGGCCCGTCCTGGAGACGGCCCGCAGAGACTGGAGAATGCGAAGAGCATCCTGGTTGACGTCTTCGAGCCGCCAGAAGCCTGGGCCATCTCCTCGTTCAGCAGCGCCTGCCCTGCCCCAGAGCAGGAAGCACTCTCGGGCATTCGGGGCCTCTGCCCAGCCGCAGCGGCCGCCCGCTGTGGCGACGTGGCCTCGAGGCCCCTCGCGGCTGCGCTGTGGCTCCCGCTTCGCTCGGGGCCCCGCTGCCAAGATGCCCGCGACGCCAGCGGAACACGCGCCAGAGTTTTACGCGTGTGCTTGTTGCAGCTGGTTGGTTCCCTGGGGCGCCCCCACGACCTGGGGTTGAAGCACCTGCCCCTGGGGGAGGGGCCGACAGTTCTTCGGGGACCGGCGGCTCGTTCAGAATGGCTCTTCAGGTCTTGCATGTGGTCTCTCCGCAGGGTCGGGGCGTGGCGGGGCGGCAGCATCGTGGGAGCCGGCAGGGACGTCGTCGGGCAGCGCCGCGTTTCGACCCCGCGGCGCTCTGCTTCGCCGTGCTCGCGCTCCGTCTGGCGCAAGGCCTGCTCGCTCGCTCGCTCTCTGCAGGGTGCAGCTTGCAAGTCCAGGCAGCGCCAGAAACTGTCCGTCTGACCGAGCTGAAGCTCAGGTCGAAAGCAGCACAGGGGATGAAACGATCTGCTTAGAGCAAGGCAAAACAACAAAGCGCCCCAACAAATCAGACAAACGCGGCTTACGTAGAGACGTGCACACACGTGAACTTTGATACCTCGTCGAAGCGGGGCCTGGCCCCTACCCCTGGCCCATTTCGAATGAGCTTGCAAGATTGGCCCCAACCTCAAACGCCCTTTGTCAAATGGGAAGCACTGGTTTCCAAAACTGTCATGATGGGCCAGAAGCGGTGCGTGTGACCTCTAGACCACCGACGACTCGACTTTTGTTGCATCGCCGGTCCTCGAAGTTCTCGACACTTGCCCCAGGGCCCAGAGACGGTCCCCTGGAAGCCCGATGATGACGTAACACAACTGGCGCGTTTTTCCGAATCGCCCGAAGTCTGAGACCCCTGCACGGCAAAGGGGGGCCTCCTCCACTTTGTCCTCCAGGGCTAGGAGCTCGCTGTCTGCCTCGTAGTCGCATTCGCGCAGCAGGTGCCCCTCGAGGGAATGGCCTCCTGCTACTTACCCTCCTCCTCCCTCCATGTCCTCTCCCTCCCAGTCCCTGGTTGTCCTCCCCTCCTCCATTCCTCGTCCTCCCACTCGCGTCTGCCGCTAGCCCTCACCGTCCTTCTCCTTGCCCTCGTCATCCGCATCCTCGTCATTCTCCTCCACCTCCTCGTCCCACTCCTGCTGCTCCTCGTCCTCATCATCCTGCTCCTCGTCTTCCTCACCCGCTTCCTCCCACCCCCATTTCCACTCGCTAGCTGTTGACATGTTTTCTCTAACTCGCTGACCCTCCGCTTCTGCCTTATCATGATCACGTCTCCCTCCCGATCAGGTGCGTCCTCCTGATGCCCCTGATCATCCTAATCCTCCCTCTGTCCTCCTCCGCATGTCATTTCTCGCTATATAGATACACATATATGTATGTACGTATACAAGTGTATATGTACATGTATATGTAGATTCCTCGCCCTACTCACATCATAACACAATTCCTACTGCTTCTCTTAGTGTGCCTTTTTCCGCGTCTTTCTTCTCATTGCTCCCTCGAGCGGCCGAAACCCGCTCCAGCAGGCGGGGAGTGCTGGTTTAATCCGTCGCCGGCTGCTCCGCAGAGCGAGCGCCCCACCAGATACCCCGAGCCTCCGATCGCAGTAGAACCACCCAGAGCCCTCCCCATCCTTCTCGTCCCCCTCCCCCCTCCTGCTGCTCGTCGTCTTCGTCTTCCTCCCTCCCCTCGTCCTCCCTTCTCCTGCTGCTGTTCGTTGTCGTCGACCTCCTGCGAGCTCCTCGGAAGAGCATCCGTAGCAGGAGGGATCCGTATGTAGCACGGTGAACACATGTGCCATCAACGACATTGTGCAATGGTGCCTGAAACGGGTAGCCCGGCGTTCCCAGGTCACTCCGCTCCGCACAATTGAACCCCCCTCGGCCCGCTGGGGACGTCCAAGGTGACGGGAAACTGCCAACTGCCAACATAAGCTGGGCAACAGTAGTGCCAAGAAGTGGGCCTGTCCTCAAGTTCTCCTCTGCCTCTTTCTCATGTTTTTGTTCCCGTTCGGGCGCGTGCCGCCGACCTCCCAGGCCGCCGCCCTCCCACCAACTCCCCTGGAAGACAAGCCGAGGATCTTTACAACGGGCACCCTCCCCGACCGAGGCAACGCTGGATGTCCAGCTACGCTTGGTCCGAGTGTTCGTACCAGGTCTTCGGTGAAGGTTTGTTAGCTGCAGGCCCCCCGAGAAATTTGTGGCGCCTCCCTACCAACCATCCTCGAACACCGCGAAGACATAAAACAGTTAGAGCCGGTCGGATCGATGTGCACGCTTCGCCAACGCGGGCCGACAGGCAAACGGGACGGACCTGCGCATTGTGCGGCCCCTGGGGACGGGGAGGAGAGGCGCTCCGAACCTTGCGAGCAACCAAGTGTGGTAATTGCGAATTGATATTTTGTGTTGAAGAACATCAGTCAAGAACATGAGACCCTCCACTGGCCAAAACAGAAAGAACATCCAAGGGTACCCTCCGCAGGATGCTCAAGAACATCCAACAAACACAAAGAACATTAGGGTACTTTCCCCGGACCGACCTCGATCTTGTACCTCAATTCGACTGCAATTGACTCCCGGATGCAATTGAAAACGGTCGATGTATCCTGGGAAGCCTACAGCCGTGTGGTAACAGACTGTGCGGTGACCGCGAGCTCCCTCAAGACCAAACATCTCACCGCAGGGTTCCGGGACCCTGGATGACTCGACGATGATGACGATGACGATGAGGGTAGCAGGTAGTAAGAGCGAGTTCCACGTCTCGTATTCATTCGCGTACGATAAGATTCAGAAGAACAAGAGGAGGTAGTCAGAGCTCTCTTCATATTCAGAAGAAACACGAGAATAACTAGAAACAAGAAATCAGCCCGAGCTCTCCATAGTCAGAAGAAGGGAAGCGGCAAACAAGCTCTCGAAGGTCGGTGCAACATTCGTGGGCCGGCGCAAGAATACCCCTCCCCGCTGGACGTGCCAGGGGGCCCAGCGCAGACCCAAGACATCCGCGCGGAAGTCCGACAGTTTCTGTTCATGCAATGTTTTCTTCGAACTCTTCTCGACAAGAAGGCCGCCGAACTGTGCCCGGTCGCGCCGAATTGCCCCCCGCAGGGCGTCCGTCCTGATAGCCGCCTGCACACGCCACGGGAAAGCCGCCACCTGCCTCCTCCCGAAGGAAGCCCAAGTCACGAACGGAATCCGCCTGAGCGGTCACGCTGAACGTATCATCGCGCAGTCATGGCGCAGGGCATTGTGCAGCTCGTTGTTGTTATGCTGCGCGAGCATGTACTTGAGCTGGTCCGCGCCGAGACGCTCGTACTTCTACAGCCACAGCGGAGGCTGGTCACCCTGCACCGCTTCAAGGGGCTGTGTCCACCCGCTGGCCAAGGAGTAATTGCGCTGCCGTGTCCGCAGCGGATGGTCCGTGCCGATACGCATCGTGATCTGTTCGTTGTTCTTGGGGTCGGCCCATGTCGGCGAGAAGGGACCCGCCTCTGTGAGAAGAGCCACGGCGTCGTTCTCGTCGGTGAAAGCGATCGAGCGGGTGGCAGAGCGTGGCCGTCTGGAGCCTCGGGGTGACTTCGCTGTCGGGAAGGAATCCCACGCACGTTGACTTAGCTAAGGGGAAAAGTTCAGATGACAACTCCAGCGGACAACTCGTGTGATGGGGGTCCGCGGTCCCCGAGCCGCCCGCGAGTGAGGGGAGCCACGGCAAAGATTACACCATCCGACGAACGCGGCACCTCAAGCCAACCTTCCGAGGATCCACCGTCATATCCCTCCGTAGTTGGAATATGTTTCCAGCACGCCGTGGTTGGCGTCCTGGATGTAGACGACAGCTGGTTGGTAAGAGGGTCGTTCTTGTCGCTCATAGACCTTGTAACAGGTTGCTTTCAACCAGGAGCGGCCAGGTGCAATCCGATCGCCTTCGCCTATCACATGGATCGTCTCCGCGTCCTGGCCCGCAGTATGTGTAAAGAACTTCCGCGGTGGATAGCTCCGTCAAGCTGAAGGAGGCCAAGGTGTTGGATTCAAATGTGCTGACTGTGACCTCCAAGCAGCGGGCCCCGCGCTCAAGTCCCTGGAAGTCTCCATGAGCATGCTGCTTGCCGTCGAAGGGCTTCGTGGGGGCCTCTGCCAGCTTGGACAACGGATGTGATATGAGTGGCAACGTCTTGCTCGCCGCCCGCATGACTCGTGGCCGTCCCGCAGCGAAGGGAAAGGGCAAGAAGCAAGCCACACCAGCAACGAACATCGCGTCTGCTGGAGGTCGCTTGTACGAGCGCGCCGCCCGCGAGACTACATAAAAATACGTGCTGACGTTCGCAACTGCTCTTGGTAGGGAACTTTGATCGCGAGGGTCGACGGCTCGCTGAGCACAGGCGTGCCACAGGCTTCCACCCAACCAAGCCCCGACCAGCGGCTTGCCTGCGTGGCAACGGCAAAGGACGGTGCGGATGTGGAAGAAGGGAGAGGCGGTGAGCGAGAGCGGAGGAGGAATGAAGAAGGGGAGTAAGGGCAAACGGTGGATAAGGAGGGGACGCATGAGGAGGAGGAGGAGGAGGAGGAGGAGGAGGAGCAGGATGATGACGAGGAGGAGTGGGGCGAATGGGAAGGTCAGAAAAGGGATACTCCTGGAACTGGGACTCGAGTCTATTGTTCTGCTGGTTCAGCGACTCGATCAAAGACCTGACGTCGGGCAAAACGAAGTCGTCCGCGTTCTTTTGCCTGGGCACCGTTCGTGGGGCCGGGGGTGGGGGGTGGGGCTACTTAGACGGATCAGCGAAGGACGGTGGCAATGCAGACGAAGTCAGCAGAGAGAGAGAGAGAGACAGAGAGAGAGAGAAGGAGAAAGATGGCGAGAGAGAAGGAGAGAGAGAGAGAGAGAGAGAGAGAGAGATCAAGACACAGAAAGAGAGAGAGAGGGAGAGAGAGAGAGAGAGATGGAGAGCGAGAGAGAGAGAGAGAGCGAGACTGAGACAGAACAAGAGAGAGAGGGATACAGACAGAGATAGTTAAACAGAGAGAGAGAGAGAGAGAAAACAAAAAAAAAAGACTGAGGGAGAGATGGCAACAACATCAACTGGGACTTGGATGGCGGTGAGGCGGCAGATATCCATTTGTAGAACACGAGCAGACGAGAGATTGTGTGCATCCTGTCAGAGCTTAACGAGCATACAACGTTGGTGTTAGTTCGGAAGCTCAACGCTCATGACGTCGCCGAGGCTTTCGAACGGCGAGCAGCTTTACTATGCCAGCAACGCTTGCGAATACAACTGATGATACTAAGGCGTCGTGAAGGAAAAATTTGAGTCATAGTGCTGAATCGCGTGCCGCACGCCATGTGCCTTGCATAAGCGTAGATGTTGAGCGAGCCGGGCATCGAGCCAATATGCGTGTGCTTCACCTGAAAGACATCCAGACTGAGCCGTTGCGAGTGCTCCACGCGGCGACCAACCTTTTTCTCTCCTGCCTGTTCCTCTCTCGCCTTCCATGCGTTCTTCGCTCTTGCGCCCTAGAGCGCTCTGCATCTGTTCAACGGCGCCCTGCTCACTCATACCCCGCGTCCTTCCCTTACGCATTCGCGTCCCTCTCTCCCTACACCTGTTCATAAACCCAAGAGAAACCTAGTAGCGCTCCGTTTAAGACGTTGCCAAGACTACTCTTGTATCCTCCCCTGCGGCATCACCTGAAGCCACAGATCCTGAACGGGGTTGGCTTTCTCCATGCCCCTGCAACAGTTCCTACGCAGTCGCCGAAGAGTCTCGTATCCTTGCCTTGCAGACCCACCATGTGTGCTTACTGCACGCGGGCTCTCTGCGCATGCACTCAACGCGCCTAGACAGGACGCGTGCCTTCACCTAGAATGTCCTTGTGTCCTTGCCTCTGCGGTCCGTCCTTTGTCGCTTTCACTGGTCGCCCGGCGCCACAAAAAAACAGCTTCGGCCTCCAAAGGTCTTGCGTCCTCACCACCCGTCCTTAATCCACGTTTGGAGTGTGCGTCCAGTTCGGGACCTTAGCCATCTCGATACGCAACGCGCAACACGTAGCGTGTTGACACGGAGCCCAACGCGTATATTGCACACGTAAGTCTGGCGCGATACGCTCGCAAAAACGTTGCCGAGCCAACACGCAGCGTGTCAACACGGACGTTTTGAACACGGCACATGGTGCGTTTCAAAACGGGCGTATCGAGGCAACTCAGGTGCTTCTAGTTCCGGGCCCCGCCGCGACTGAGAGGACCCGCTGCGGGCCATGCCTCGCAAGCCGCGGGCGCTGCTTGGGACTGCTGCCCTGGCGGGCTGGCAGCCGCCTCCACGAGGCCGCCAACTACGGAGCTTTGGAGGCGAGGGCCCCTTTTGGAGCCAGCAGTGGCCCAAAAGGGGCCCTCAAGTGCCCCTTTAGGGCCATTCTCTCCAGCCCCCATTTGGGCCACGCGGTCGCATAGAGACGTTCCGCGCGGGGCATTTACGAACAACAGGCTCCGTAACTACAGGGTCGCGGCCCAGGGGCCTGTGCCGCGATCGGGCTGGGCGAAAGAGGGGGATAGCAAAGGGGGAGTTTGAGAATCAGCTCACGTAGCCGCCGGGAGGCGCCCATGTATCGAGGAATGGGCCCGGCGGCGGGGCCGAAACCAGCTGCATGCAGCAAATTTCGTAACCCCCCCTTCCCCTGTCCCCCCCTTTCGTTCGGCCCGACGCGAGGCCGCGGATACGGATTTGTCGGCCACCTCGAAGAAGAGGGCGGGGGCGGGCGCGCCCCTCGGCGCCCATTGCCTTGTCGTCGAGAGTGTGCTTCTCGGGGCGACGGGGCAGCGGCGCGCGCGCGCGCCGCTCTGGCCCCCGAGGCCCCCCGAGGAAAGGCCTTGTGCTCTCCTCGCCCCCGCACGAGGACGACGACGACGACGACGACGACGACGCTGACGAGGACGATCTGCGCCCTGCGTCGTCGACGTCGTCGTCGTCATCAATCGTCGTCGTCGTCGTCGTCTCCTGCCCTCCACCTCCGGACGAGCCAGAAAGATCGGCCCGAAAGTGAGAAGTCCTCGAGTCGTGACGGCACGACGGAAACGCCTATCAGGGCTGCTGCCGCTGCTGCTCCTCCTGTGCGGCCATGCTCTGGCTCGGGCGTCGCCGGCTCGGGACAACGTCGGGGCCTGCGCCCCGCGCAGCAGTGCTGCCCCCCCGCAGCCGTGCAGGGTCGTGGCCGCTGCCCCCTCTTCGTCGTCTTGGAAGATCGAGAAGGACGGAGGATCGGGGATGCATCGAGGATCGAGGGCAGAGGTCGAAGATCGAGACGGACGGAGGATCGAGGACGCATCGAGGATCGAGGGCAGAGGTCGAAGATCGAGACGGACGGAGGATCGAGGATGCATCGAGGATCGAGGGCAAAGGTCGAAGATCGAGACGGACGGACGATCGAGCATGCAGCTTTTTGGGCGCTTCTGGCCCCTGGTTGGCCTCCCACGGGACGCACAAGGACAGGCTGGCACCACATGGCCTCCATGGAGGCGCGCGGCCGGCCTGAACATACAGTGGACCCATCTTGTAGTATATCGTTTCCCGAGCGGTGTGGCCAGAAAGCGCCCGCCACGACGCATATACTACAAGATTTCTCGGTGCGCGCGTCGCCCCGAGAGGGAGGGGGGAGGGCGACGCACACGTAGTCTTAGTACGTTCGGGTGACGCCGATCCTATGGCAACCTCAGGGGATCGCTGCAGCCTCCTCGTTTGTCTCCACCACCCTCGGGGATCTTCTGACCCTGGTCAGTGCAATCCTGGGTCACTCAGGCTTCGCAGGATCCTGCAAGACCCTGCAGGATCCTGCACCCAAGCCTGGGTCAATGCAACCCTGGCCCTGCAGGATCCTGCAAGATCCGGCGCTCTGACTGACCCCCGCTTGCATTGACCCCCGCCCCTTGAGGCCCGACGCGAGGAGGAGGTGGAGAAGGAGGAGGAGGAGGAGGAGGAAAAGGAGGAGGACCAGTAAAAACAAAAGAGCCATCAACGATGTTGGAATAAACCCTCCCTCCAAGCTCCCTCTTCATAGGCCCTTACCAAGGTTCATTTCCACTGAGGGACATGCCTCGTTGGAAAACAACCGTTTGAAGTCCCTGATGCATGCCAAAACATCTTTATTTGGATTCCAACGCCACGGATCAGCCTGACTGCTGCGTCTTGACGATCCAGAATCGTGAGATAACGCCACTCCTGGGATTTCGACACCGCGGGCCAACGTAACTGTTGCACCCTCTTAATCCTGAATCCTTCCAAACACCATTGGTGGTACGCTGCTCATGAGAATCCGTGGGACTCTCGATTCCCCAATCAGTGCTTGCACTGAAGGGGTCCTAGCAGAAGTTGGAAGATTTGGTGAAAATTCCCCGCCGATTTTGGTGGCAGGCTGGGTTCCGGGGTTCCCGGGTGCCCGGTTCCGGGTTCCCGGGTTCCCAATTCTGGGTTCCGGGCTGATTTCGGAGGGCGGCGAGGTTCCCGGATTCCCGGGTTCCTGGTCCTTATCGATCGGTCTCACCAGCGATCTCATTACCGACTTCTCGATCGATCTCACCATCGATCTCATAATCGATCTCACTATCAATCTCACAAGCGATCTCACTGGAGATCGCATGAGCGATCTCGCGATCGATATCACTATCGATCTCATTGAATCGATTTCACTCTCGGTCTCATACCGATCCCTCCCGCCTGAACGAGTCTCCAATGTCGAAGGAAGGCACTCTGCGTCATCAGTCGTTGCTCCAGTCACGCGCAGGTTGACGAACAAAAGCGGCCGTCGAACCTACTCAGAAATATGATGGATGGGGATGGCCTTCAGACGAGAGCGCCTTCCGGCGGATCAACAGATCCGCCCCGGATAACGATACCTCAGACTGCACAGGCCTGCACAGCCGCAATAGAATATCAGACATTTCTCCACTCACCCACCCGGGATGTAACAAAAACGGCCTTCAACCAAGAACGCCCTGCCGTCCTGTGGATCACTGGATCTGCCCCCTGAGGCCAACTCGGCCCCCAGAGGCCCGAGCGAGGACGCTACAGAGGTGCATTGAGGAAGCGCACAGGAGAGGGAGCGGAGGAGCGAGAGAGAGAAGGACACAGCGCCCTTAAAGGGTGCTGAAACCAGCGCCCCGCCTGAGACATGCTCACAATCTGCTCTACACGCAGACGATGTTGGCCACCGAAACAGGCAAACCGCCTGAGACATACTCACAAACTGGCCGCGAACGGGCCTCGCTTCAGCGCCGCACGCATTCGTTTTATCGGGGATGGACAGAACCCCCTTTTCGTAAAACGTGGTTTAGTGAAACGACCTCGGGCGCAAACCTGGCGGGCGCAAACCTAGAACATAACGGCCGCGGCGCCCTCTCGATGACCGAAAACTGAAAATTCACGAATCGACGTGCCAGGGTGGGGGTCTGTCCAACCCCGAGTGGCTCTCGCTCCAGCGCCGCGCACATTCCTTTTACAACCTCGCAGCAGCGTCACGGATGGAGGGCGAGCGGTTTGCAACATGCGTCTCTCGCCTTGGCGCCGCGCGCATAAAACCTCGAAGCCGCTTGGCGGACTCGCGTGGCTGACGTCCGATGCGGCGTCCTGGCATAATCTATGATCGTCAGGACACACCAATTACGTTGATTAGCTGCTTTGAAGTCCCACGGATGGTGCTTTGGCGCGGATGGCAATTCTCACACGGTTGCCTTCCATTGGGGCATCGTCTTGGGTTTACTCAGGCTTTCCTCCTCCTACTCCTCGTCCTATTCCTCCTCCTCTCTACTTCCGTCACCCTCCCATTCATCCTTCTCCTCCTCCTCCCATCGTTACCCTCCGTGTCCTGTTCCACCTCCCTCCTTCTCCTACTCCCACTCCTTCTCCTCCTCCTCCTTCTCCTCCTCCTCCCCTCCTCCTCCTTCTCTTGTTGTTGTCCTGATCCTCCTCCTCCTCCTCCTCCTCCTTCCTCCTCCTCCCTCCTCACTACGCCATCCGTCCATCCTCTCCCACCTCATCCTCATCCTCCTCCTTCTCCTACCTCATCCTCCTCCTCATCCTCGTCTCCTCCTCTTTCCCTACTGGTCTCTCCGCCTCCCTCTCCTCCTCCTCCTCCTCCTCCTCCTCCTCCTCCATCCTCCTACTCCTCCTGCTCTCTCCGCCGTTTCCTGGCGCCACGACGTCCGCGTGACGCGGGCCCCTGGGAGGCACAAGAAACGGGAACCATATCGACCGTCACGATTTCTCGTGACGCCGTTGGTCCAGGCCCGCCTCATCTTCTCTTTCCTCTTCCCTCCCTCTCTTCCTGCTCCTCCTCCTCCTCTTCCTCCTCCTCCTCGTCCTCCTCCTCCTCCTCCTCCCCGTCCTCCTCCTCCTACGCCCTCTCTCCTGCGCCCTCTCTCCTGGAAGGGTCTTGTCGTGCGCGCCCAAGTGGGGCGCGTTGTGCCGATACCCTGGGCAAAGGGCAGGCACAGTTGCGTCCCGATTCGGGCTCTGGCAAAGGGGCAACACCTCTGCGCGCGTGCCTGCACTGCGGGGCCAAGTTCCGCAAGTGCAGAACAGTTTCCGGGGCCCCCGCAGCGCCGCGCCTGCCTCCTCGCCCACTGGCGGTGCGCACGTGCGCGGCGCCATTGCGCGCGTGGTACTCCTTTCCCCGCAACCTGATCCTTCCCACCCCATCGCCTGACCGCGTCACGACCACGACGGCGGCGGCCCCGACGAGACCGACGGCGGCGGCGGTGGGGCCCAGCGACAGGAGAGGGTCGCCACGCCGCCCTCTGGGGGAGCAGCGGGCCCGCGGCAGCAGCAGCGGCGGCGGGCGCGGGCAGGTGGAGCGCCAGGGCTGGGGGCGCACCCAAGGCCGCAGGGCGCCTGAGGTGTCGGGGGGGGGGCCTGCGGCGCGGCCCAGGGAAGGGGGGCGGTTGCCCGCCCACGCGGTGGTGCACGGCAGCGTCGCCTGTGGCAGGGACTCCACGACCTCGGGGCTGCCGGCAGTGGTCACTCTGGCTTGCCTCAGCCATGCGTCGACCACGCCACCTCCGCCGAGGGGGCGGATGGCAAGGCCTACCTTGGCCCCGCTGGGCCTGTGGAGCCAGTGGGCCTGGTGGGGGTCCTTGTAGAGCGGCGCGCCCGCTGGGTGGGCGGCCGTCCACCAGGGCCAGGAGGGCCCGGCGGAAGCGCGCGGCGTCGTCCTTCGCCGACCCAATGGCAGAGGCGCGCCGCGAGCGCCGCGAACACATAGTGCGAGGGGGCGGCTGCGCAGGCGCGGGCAGCAGTGGCGCGGCCAGTTGAGGGCCCGCCGAGAAGGATGGGCCGCACGGGAACAAAAACCCTGCGGGGGAAGCCGGCCAACAGGGCGCGGCGGGAGCCACGGGCGGGCGCAGGGGGCACGACGCGAGGCGTTGGGTGGACAGGCGACGTCGGTAACGAACCCGACGGGGGGGCGGCCGCAGCTGCATCGCCACGGGGCCGTTGGAGCAGCGCTGTCAACGGGGCCGCCCAAAAGCCACCAAAGGCGACCACAAGGGTCTCCACCGGCGCTGGGGCTGGGGAGAAGGAGCTATCTGGAAGCGAAAAGGCCCTCGCCGCCTCCTGCAAGGCGACTGGACGTTCCCAGCCACCGACCAGGGCGGGCGCCGCCAGGTCAGCCGAGGCGACACCTCCAGGATGTTGGTGTGCTTGCTACGCGGCCAAGGCAAGTGGGGGCAGGAGGCCAACTGCGACCAGGATGGCCGGAGTGAACGCGCAAAGGCGCAGCGCGGGGTAGGCCAGAGGGGCGGGCCTGCGGGGCACTCGCGTCTGCGGGAACGGCTGGGCGCACTCGCGCCGCTGGAGGCTTCGGCGGGGACGCCGGAGAGCCCGAACGAGCGGCGGACACGCAGACGCCGAACTCGAGGACGAAGCGTTGCGCGCAGGGGGCAGCGGGCCCAAGGCAAAGGAGGTGGGGCCAGGCACAGGGGGGCCGGCACTACCACAGGCGGTGGTGGTTCCGCTCCCTGGCACCACTGCTTACGACATGTGGGCCACGGCGCTCCTGGGCGGGGCTCCACGGTGCAATTCGGGTGTGGCTGCCCTCGGAACAGCTCGCCCTCGGTGGCGACGCCACGGTTAGTCGACATGCGCAGACGCCGTGCGCGTCTGTACCTTCGTCCAGAGGAGGATTTCTACTGGCGCGCCTCCGTGCGAGGCTGATAAATTGGTGGCCGCTCCTGGGCCTCACAGAGCGGCGCTGTGCTGGCATCGCGTGGCGTGCCTGATTGGCCAGCGTGGCACCCCGCCGCAGGAGCCCCGCTGGGGGCGCACGTCGCCCCCTGCAGAGACCTGTTGGCCGCGCGCTGCTGGACAGACCGGGTTGCGACTGCGGCTCGCCACGCCCTCCCCGCCCCGCGCGTCGCTGCCTCCAAACGACACAGGCCCTCGTGGGCTGCGCTGCTGGGGCAGCAGTCCTTGCCTCGTGCCCGCGCTGGCTGCCCCAGGTGTCGGGCACGTCGGTGGTCGCCGGCCCAGGGCCCTCGTGCAGACCCTCGCGCTGTGCGGTGGCCGCCTTGTGGCAGGGGGTCCGCGCATGCCAGCCTGCTGCCCGGCGCTGGAGGGCCCCCGCGCCGCACCGGCGGCCGCCCTGGGCTGGTCTGCCCCCCCAGCGCCCTCGCAGGAAATGGCGGCCTCTCTTCTGCGGTTGGCGCCCGGGGCGCCGGGCTTCTGCCTTGCTGGCGACCTCGCTGGGCGTGGCGCTGGGCCGCTTCTCGTTTGCATCGGGGGTGTGGGCCCGTGCGCCCTGCCTGCGGCGAAAAAAAATTGTCGGCGTTCGTGTGTCCTCCCCAGGGCCCGCCCTCCTTCTTTTCCTCCCCGTCCCCCCCCCCTACCCCCCCCGCCCCGCCCCTCCCCCCCGCCCCTGCCCATGGCCGTTCCTTCCCGCTCCCACGCCTCCACCCCCCATGCGTTTCCCCTCCGCCGTTTGGCTGGTGCTCTCGCCGTCGCGGCTCTTCGGCTGAGTGCGATCTATCGTTCGCGTCGCGGGCTCCAGCGCTCTCGCACACCATCCGCGGCCACATTGGGGCCCGTTCCGTGACCAATTCCAAGCATCCGGCCGCTTGCACGCACAGGCGAGGCCATGACGGGCGCTGCCGCCAACCACCTGCACGAGAAGCTTCTGCGGGCGGAGCGGCGCGCACTGTCGCCACAAGAACAAGCGAGCCTCCAAGCCCAAGCTACGTGTGCTGAGCGCGAGTCAGGTCGTGCCTGGATGGCCTCAGCTTGCGCGCGCGCGGCCGGCATGGGCGCGCCGAGGGCGAGCATGGGCAACGTAGGAGCTGCCCCGCGCCCCAGGGGCTGCCAGGGCGCCGGGCGCCACACCCTACTTCCAGCGGCAGGATGCCACCGCGGCTTCAACCTTGGCCCCAAACGCCGCCAAAGCCACGCTGAGGGGAACTTCCTCGCTACGCACCAGTCCGACAACCGATGGGCACGCGGATTCCGCACGCACCAGGCGTGCCCAGCACATCGGCCTGAGATCCAGATCTGGCCTGGTCGGCGCGAACCACCTGCAGACCTGCAGGGGTGCCCGGTCGGAGCAAGGTCATCTGCGCTGCCGCCAGGGCTGCCTGTCTGGCCGCGGCCGAGCCAGCCACCAAAGCATGCGGTCTTGCGGGCGCCCACGTGGCGCTCTCGCGCCGGCCCTCCGAGCACCGCGGCGCCGCCAGCTGGAGCGCCTCCTCGCTTCGCCACAATGGAAAAAATGAGGAACCGAACTCTATACAGCGACGCTTTTTCCCGCCCCGCACGAAAATTCGCACAGTAAAGCGGATCATGGTGTATACGGGGCCCTGGTGTATACACTTTTTGCTGATTCCGCGGTGAAGCGAGGAAACGTGCATACACCACACCACCCCGACGTCGCCCCCGACCCTCCAAAAGTCCTGGGATTGAGATACAGCCCGCCACTGGCAATGTATATGCTCCAATTTCAGAAGAAAAGCACGGGTGTCTGGCCAGCCTCTCGTAGGTCCAGCGCGCGAAGCGCCGATGCCTCGAGGTCCGGGTGCGTGGCAAGCAAGGCCGAGGAGGGCAGCACATGCGGTGTGTCCAAGTTTGCCAGTAGCTCAGAAGCACGATGCGCGCGCGGGGTACCCTGCCCACGCCAGTTGTGACCAAGCGCAGGGGCGGGGCACCAAGCGGACGTGGCCACTCCGCAGCTAGCGGCCTGCAGCACGCGCACGAGGCTGCCGGGGATGAAGTCGTAGGCCAGGGGCGCAATAACTCTGCCTTCTGGAACCCCTTTCAAACACGTCCACGGCGCTCAAACCACTCAGCGGGCTGATCACCTGGTCCCATTCTAGAATGGACGTCAGAAGAGGAAGTGGACCACCGCGAACCCCAGGATTACTATGTACGAGGCACAGCAAGAGTGCCCTCCAGGTCTGCGGGGAAGCCTGGATCAATTCGACGTGCACCATCCACGTGGGGTGGCCCGCATCCAGGCGATCGGCAACGAGCTCGTGAAGCACCAGGTGTGCATCCACAGCGTCCCTGATGTAGCCGCTCTGGCCATTGTTCAGCGGTAGACGAAGTGACGCCCAGAGACGTCGGCATAGCAAGCCTTCTTGAAGGAGCCCGTGTTGGCGCATGATACACAACAGCTGGTAGCTGGATGAGGGCGTCCAGGGGCCTCGTTTGTACGAGGTGCCCAGGACCCCGTAGCGCCGGAGACGTGGGCGGAGTGCCAACGGCGGGACCAACCAACAGGTGCAACTTCCAGGGAGGCGGAGTTGGAACACTGCCCGCGGGAGTAGATCAGGAGTGGTGGCGGGAGACCCTCCTCTTCCTCCTCTAGGCCCGCCTCCTCTTCCCTGTCCTCCTCTCTCCCTCACTCCCTCTCTCCCTCCCTCCCTCCCTCCCTCTCCTCCTCCTCCTCCTCATCCTCATCATAAGTCCTCCCTCCTTCTCCTCCTCCACCTCCTCCTCATCTGTCTCCTCCTCTCCCCTCCATCCTCCTCCTCCTCCTCCTCCTCCTCCTCCTCCTCCTCCTCCGACTCCCTTCTCCTTTCACTTGCCCCCCCCCCCAGCAACCGATTCTACGGCGTTCACGTGACGTGGGCCCTCAGAGGTCCAAGAAACGGGAACGTCATCGGCCGTCACGGCTTCTCGTGACGCCGTTGGTCTAGACCCGCCTCTTCCCTGTCCTCGTCTTTCTCCTCCTGCTGCGCGCAACCCAAGAGATCGGTCGATCGCAGCGCCCACGCATGCACGAATGGACTCACATGCAGGAGGGAGGAGGGAAAGGCGGAGGACCCACCATGCCCATCTCCAGGCCCCCTCCTCCCCTGCCCTGGCCCGCGCTCCTGGTGCCCTGTGGTCTCCAGGGACACTTTCTGCAACTCCAGCCTGTAGAGGAGGTTCTCCAGCTCTTCCGCGGTCTCCTCCTCGGTGAGCCCCGCCTCCTTGACAGGCGCGGGCGGTGGGGCCATCCTCCTCCTCGGTCCGCCGCTCCTCCTCCTCTCCTCGCTTCTCCCTCCTCACACAACTTCCCTTCCTCCTCATCCTCCTGATCCTCCTCTCTTTCCCCCGTCCTCGTCCTTCTCGCACGTCGCCTATCCCTCCTCCTCCTCGTCCTCCTCCTTCTGCTCCTCGGCGTCCTCCTCCTGCTTCTCCCGCCCCCATTTCTGAAGTGATATATGCGTGATCGGGCTCTGCGCACGTACTGCGAGTATCACTCGCTGCTTGGGGAAATCGGATCTTGGGGTGGGCGCAGAGAGAAATGGGAACCGTTCTCATTGGCCGGCCATGCTTTGCAACGGAAAGGTTGCACCACGTCCAGGTGTGTACCCTGTGCGCTGTTGCACCACATCTAGACGTGTACTCCGTGCATGCGGACACCGCTTCGTGTGATGAGCGTCCAGAGTCCATGTTGCCTTGTTCACCATACATCCAATTCGCTGTACGGTGCAACACCACGTTTGAGCACAAGGAGAACCACTGGCTGTATTCCCCCACTGCGAGCGTGGACGAGACTTGTAGAGGCCTCCTAGATGGGGTCCGAGCAAGTGTGGTCAGAGGATCGCGCCGCATCGCCGATGCATCGGCGGTACATCGGCAGTGCATCGGCGACGCGTCGACGACGTCGACAATGCATGGGCGCCATCGGCGTGGCGAAAATCGGGTTCCACATCCAGCCGCATCGCCGATGCATCGGCGATGCGGCGCAATCCGTCGACCCCATCTACTCCGATCCCATCTAGGAGGCCTAGAACTTGGCAGCACCAGCGTGCCTACTGAAATGAGTGGCTCTATGTCTGGCGCGTGCTCCGACGCCTCTGCGGCTCGGAGCCGGATGCCGAAACTGCGCGCCAGAACCATCGCGCGCTTCGCGCGCGCTCTCGCGAAGCGCGCTCCCTCTCCTCCTCCCCCTCCCCGCTCTCTTTCTCCCCCTCCCCTTCCCCCTCCCCTCTACAATATGAATACTACTCTCCTCTCTCCCCTGGTGGCGTCCGGGGAATGTCCGGCGCCCATCCGCGCATTGGTGTTCTACACGCAGAATTCCCCGGAGGTGGGTTCTCGCTTTTAGGAAATATCGATGTATGTATGTATGTATGTATGTATGTATGTATGTATGTATGTATGTTATGTATTATTATTATTATATTATATATTATATATATATTATGTGTGTACCACGCGCGCTACGCGCGAGCTTAGGGTCTAGCTTAATCCAGGGCAACGGCCCAACAACGGACGGGGGGGTCCGACGGCTGAATGCACTTCAGTTCTTCGTCGAGTTTCGTGGGTCGTGGTCCGAAAAGCTTTTGGGCGTCCCTCACACCCAGGCGGCCAGGAGAGGCCGAAAACGACACATCTTCCTCGTCCTCCTCTCTCCCCGCTCCTCCTCCTCCTCCTCCTCCCTCCTCCTACTCTCTCTCCTCCTACCCTCCTCCTCCTCCCTCCCTCCTCCTTTCTTTTTCCCCTCAATTGTCCCATCCTTTTCATTCTTTCTCCTCCTCCCCTCCCCTCCCCTCCCTCTCCCTCCTCTCCCTCCTCCACCTCTCCCTCCTCCTCCTCTTCCTCCTCCGCTCCTTCTCCTCCTCCTCCTCGTCCTCCTCCTCCTCCTCCTCCAATTATTATTATTAGTATTAGTATTAGTATTAGTATTAGTGTCAGTATTAGTATTAGTATTATTATTATCATCATCATTATTATTGTGATTATTATTATTATTCTTATTATTATTACTATTACTACTAGCATTACTCTTCTGATTGCAAGTATGATTAATCGCTTTAGTATTACTATCAGTAATACAATTTCTATCTAGATTGTTGGTTTCGTCAAGAATATTAATCGCATTCGTAACATTCGTCGTCCTCGCGCCCTCGCGCCCTCGCGCCTTCGCGCCGCCCACTCGGACCAGTGCTTCCGCTCTGGCACCGACCGCGACGCGCGGAGCGCGACTCTCTTCGCGCTCCCCGCGGACGCTCGACCCCCTCGCGTCGTGACGAAAATCACGACGGAAGGTCTTTCGCTACGTTCGGCCCCAGGACCCCCTCGCGTTGCGGAAACAATCACGACGGGAGGTCTTTCGCTACGCTCGGCCCCTGTACCCCCTCGCGTAGTGGAAACAATGACGACGGGAGGTCTTTTGCTACACTCGGCCCCAGTACCCCCTCGCGTCGTGACGAACATCACGTCGGGAGGTATTTCGCTACGTTCGGCCCCAGGACCCTTCGCGTTGCGGAAACAATCACGACGGGAGGTCTTTCGCTACGTTCGGCCCCTGTACCCCTCTCGCGTCGTGACGAAACTCACGGGAGGTCTTTCGCTACGTTCGGCCCCAGTGCCCCCTCTCGGGTCGTGGAAACAATCACGACGGGAGGTCTTTCGCTACGTTCGGCCCCAGTACCCCCTCGCGTCGTGGAAACATTCACGACAGGAGGTCATTCGCTGCATTCGGCCCCAGTGCACCTCTCGCGTCGTGACGAAACTCACGACGGGAGGTCTTTCGCTAAGTTCGGCCCCAATACCCCTCTCGCGCCGTGACGAAAATCACGACGGAAGCTTTTTCACTACGTTCGGCCCCCGACCCCCTCGCGTCGTGACGACAATCACGAACGGTTGGTCTTTCGCTACGTTCGGCCAAAGTACCTCCTCGCGTCGTGACGAAACTCACGACGGGAGGTCTTTCGCTACGTTCGGCCCCCGACCCCCTCGCGTCGTGACGAAAATCACGACAGAACGCTTTTCGTTATTTGCGGCCCCAGACCCCTCGCATCGTGAAAGACACACGACGGAAAATTTGTAGCTATTTTCGGCCTCCAGGGTCCTTCACCGGGTCTCGGGACCGTCAAGAAACGACTCAAGATGAAATCGCGACGGACAATTTTTCGCCACTGTCGGCCTCCGGAGCCCCTCACCGGGCCTCGGGACCGTCAAGACTCGGGATGAAAAGCCAGTCCCGGGGAATGGGTCCAGACCTCTGGGGGTCGTGTCACGAAGAAAAACCTGACGCTTTGGGATCTGGGGCAAGTGGCCCAGATTCTTCGCCCCTCGCTTCCCGCGCGAGGCGGGGGCCTCTCCATCTCCGCCGCCTGGGCCGCGGTGGACAGAGATAGATCCCAGATCGGGCGTGTCCCCCTACAAGCGGATTTTGGACGAAAAATTAAAATCCCACCAGCCCTCTGGGCGTCGGTGGTTTAGGGCGCTTCCTCTTCCACCCCTCCCTCTTCCCCTTCGGGGAGGGGCTTACCCCTCCCCCTACCCCCTCCCCACTGACCTGGACAGGAGGGGCGGGGAGCGGTCAGAGCGTCCAAAACAGCCTCGGCGAGGAAGCCAGAATCATTGATTTTAGCAGGGTTTTGGCCCCTAAACCGAAGCCTCCCGAGCGAAATCGCGGCCAGCGGAAGTGTCCGAGGATGGGCTACCAGAAGGAGCGCCAACAAGGGCACAACGCCACAACCAAATCCCGCGACATAAATCTAAGAAACAAACAGTTGCGGCGTACGGAGGTGGAGCTCCTATTGGTGCCCAGTGGCTGGTGCACCTGGCGCTGGTGACACCTGCTGGGGGGCCCAGGGGTCGCACCGACCTCAGGCCGGGAAAATCATGGAGAATTGCCCGGCTGCGCCCGAGAAGCTGCCGAGGCTCTCTACGGCTGTCTAAGCGGGCTGAAGCCGTTGCCAGAGCTCAGGCCGGAGGCCTGCTTTGCAGACCTGCGCGCCGCCACGCTGCTTCCGGGCAGGCTGTGCTGTCCGGCGAGGGGGAGGCGGGGGAGGAGGAGGAGGAGGAAAAACGCGGCGAGCAGACATACCCATGCAGGAGGAGAGGGGGGAAGGGAGGCGGCAAAGGAGCAGCAGGCAAGCAAGCACGCACGACGGGGGCGGGCGGGGGGCGGGGGGGGCGAGGGTCGTCGGTTGCGTACGGGTGGTCGTCGTGGGTCGCCGTGCCACTGGGGGTCGTCGCGAGTCGTCGGGGGAGGGGCGGAGGGTCGTCGTGGGGCTGGGGCGGAGGGTCGTCGGGGGAAGGGAGGGGGGGCAACGCTAATTAACGCTCAGCTCTTCTTTGATAGATCTCCTCCAAGATGGCACAAAGAAGCGCCCAGGAGGCCCCAAGAGGTCCCAAGATGGCCCCAAGATGGCCCCAAGAGGCCCCCAAGAGGCCCCCAGAAGGCCCCCAAGAAGACCCTCAGAGGCCCCAAGAGGCCCCCCCCCCGAGGCACCCAAGACCCCGAAGAGCCCCCCAGAATCGCCAAGAGACCCCCAAGACGTCCCAAGAGGCCCCCAAGCATCGCCCAAGAGATACTCCAAGAGGCTCCTAGAGGCATCCAAGAGACCTCTGGCCCTTGTGCTTGCTCCTCCTCCTCCTCCTCCTCCTGTTCCTCCTTCCTGCTCCTACTCCTTCTCTTCCTCCTCCTCCTCCTCCTCCTCCGCCTCCTCCTCATCCTATTCATCCTCCGTCTTCCCACTCCCTCATCCATCCATCCATCCACCTCCTCCTTCTCCTCCTCACTCCTTTGCACGGTTCGGCCGTCCTCCTCTTTGCTGCCGCACTTCCCTGATCACCTCAACTCGCCTGGACATCGTTTCGGGATGGGCTGGTGGGGATAAGCGAAGCGTCTAGAATTGTCAAAAAATCACCACGAGTATTCAAAGATATTCAAAGAATCACCACCTGATTATTTTTTTGGCTATTTTCGATATTCCTCCTGTAGAGGGACAGGCCCGACCTAAAGATAGATCCCAAACTCGGACCAGATGTTTCGCCGCTGGCGTCCTGGCACCTCGATCGGCGACGGGCAGGCGTGATGAGGCAACGGTAGAAGGGGACCACCTCAGGGAGGGGTGAAACGTCATCCTGGAATCGGCGATACATCGCCAATAGATTGGCGATGGGCACCCGATCGCGGAAGCGCACCATCCTGGGCGGGATGGGCCATGAGGCCCCTCTCGGCGAT